CAGTCTGGGCGACAGAGTGAAACTCCAACTCAAAAAAAGAAAAAAGAAAAAAAAAAAAAAGAAGGCACTATTATTTTTTCTTCTTTAGCAACTTTAAATAGGAGGGGCGATCCCTCCCCCCAAAAACAGAGTTTATTTATAAAAAATGGTGTATCTTACATGTTTCAACTTAAGTCACCTTTAAAATACTTGTCGTTTGATGCAATACACCCCTCCACATGCTTTTTACATTGCTCAAAACAGTTTTTTAACTCATTTTGATGCCTTTTGGTACTTCTGCTGTTTTTTGTTTCACCCCTTCCATGTTGGCAAAACATTTCCCTTTGAAAGTTTACTAAAATTGGTGCAAGTTAGGGCACCTGAGAAGTAATGGCAACTCTATAAATAGAACCTAAATAATGACAAAAGATTGACAAAGTTTATCAGAAAAAGGTCTAAAGATCACAGTAGATAAAACTGAGAAAATCAGCATGTTATTTTTGTTGAAAATATTTAAAAAAACTTTAATACAGGGATATACAATTAAGAGCAGAGTAAGTCATATTGGAATGGTGAGGAAATCATCCAATTATGTTCCACATTGATAGCATCTCTGTTAGAATACTGGTATGTCTCATTATATGGGAAACCACAATGCAGGCATCTGAACATCTGCAGGGTGTGTGTCCTTCAGGCCAGGTTTCCTCCACACATGCATCTTGTTTCCCCCAGGCCATATATTCCAGGCAGTGGGCTCCCCTTCATTTCATATACCCATGGGCTTTGTTCTAATAAAAACTCATCCTCATCCCTTAATTTGCTGTTGATCACATTTCAGTCTCTGGCATCAGACTTTCTTTTTGAAAACTCAGAACACTGGAAAAACCATGGAAGCACAATCTGATGTGCTGCTCTACTATGAGGGGCACATGGTAAATACAGCTTACTTAGTGGAGGTTACTTTGAAAACATTTATGATGACAAATGGGGTGTCTTATATGTTCAGCTTCTTATTCTCAGTTTTTCTATAGTTTACTATTTTTTCCAAGCTTAAAAATAATCTGAAATACTCTATACTGAGATATACTGTATAATTTTAACTAGTATTATTTCATCTGTTTTCCTGAAATTATAACTTTTTACAAAATGAAAAGATTAAGTTTTTTACATTTTAAGGTATGATGTTACATTTTCGCCAGATAATTTTTTATAAGGGATATGTTTCTTTTACAATGATATTGAATAAGGAAACAGCATTTTGTGTAAATTCTCTATCTATATGGATTAATTTTCTAATCTATAAGAAAAGACAGGTTATGGCTGGGCACGGTGGTACATGCTTGTAATCCTAGCACTTTGAGAGGCTAAGGCAGGAGGATTGCTTGGGCTCAGGAGTTTCAGACCAGCCTGAGAATTATAGCAAGACTTCCTCTCTATAAAAAAAAAAAATCAAAAAATGAACCCGGCATGGCGGTGCCTGCCTATAGTCCTAGCTACTTAGGTGGTGGAGAAGGCTATAACTCATGGGTTTGAGGCTGTTGTCAGCCATGATCATGCCACTGCACTCCAGTCTGGGTGAAAGAATGAGACTCTGACTTTAAAAAAAAAAAAAGGCATGTTACAAAATGAGATTTCCTTGTACCTTCATTCATACAATTGACAAATACTTATGGAGAACTTTTTTTATTGGCATTGTTGATTCCAGAGCTATAGCCATCATCAAGAGAGATGAAGTCCCTGCCCTCTTAGAGCTTAAATTCTTGTGGGCGAGACAGACAATAAACAAATGCATATGTGATGTGTAGGGTGCTGATAAACGCATGAACAGAGCTAGCCAACAGCGTTGTTAATGATAGGCAGTATCTCCTGATCTCTTATTTTGTATCAAGCACTATTCTAAATACTACACATACTGATTCATTTTCTACTCCAACAATGTTAGGAGATAGGTATGAATGTGATAATAATTTCGTGATCTTATTTACAAGTTAGGAAGTTAAGATAGAGAAAGTTGAGGAATTTGCTCAATTGCCAAAACCAGGCAGGACTCAAGCCCAGGCTGTCTGGCTTCAAGGCCCCAGTTTTTTATTTTAACATTTTCATATCACAGAAAAGTCTAATGAATGGTATGCTGAACACACAGCCCCTTCAGCTGGATTTACAAATTAAGACAGTGTTTTGCCATATTTGCTTCCTTTCTTGTATAGTCTGTCTATACTTTGCTGAATATTTGAAAGTAGTTGTAGACATTTTCATTAAGTTGGAGTTCACCTTTAAATAGGTAAATATGTGCCCCCAAGAACAAGGACATTTACCTGCATATCATAATATGGTTATTTATCTCACTCAAGAAATGTAATAGTCATGTAATTCCAATGTCTAATATATTTTCAGATGTTCCCAATTGTCACTCTTAGTCACTGTGTTATACTGCCTCCATGGTCTTTTTCTCAGTGCTAATACTTACTCATAACTCTCATATATGATAACAGTACTGAGGGCCTTATATTCATATCATTCTTGTAACCATCCCTGATTCATATATGAGGGTAGAGTGTCAGAAGGCACTTTTAAGGAAAGCTTGTTCATTGTTCTTCACCTTGAAATCCTTATTTCTCTTCAAGTAGATAGGGACAACCTGAAGATGGGTCAAAACCCAGTTAAGTGATGAGATGGCACTTGAGTGAGGGGCAAGTGTGAGACTCTTCTAGTCTGGCTGTCAGTCTTAGAAAAGACTGTTTGCATATACCAGTATTACCAAAGTCAACTCCAAAGAAATGTTTTATCAGCTGATAAAAACCTTGCCGCCGTCAGCTTTTGGTCAGTTCCATCACCCAGGGAATAGATCTTTGAATATGTGTCATAACAAGAGTACTCAATAGTTCTCTTCCTTGTAATGGAGAGGCCTTGACAAAGCTGACATCTTCTTTTCTGTCAATTACAATGCATCATTTTGCACCATGAGTCTGATCTTACACTTCAGATTTGTATAACTTCCTGTCTTGCGTGCTCAGGCAAAACACTAATACCGTATTTGATCCTAACTCAGAATTCCCATTTCTTGGAGTTAGTCATCCACCATGGATGCAACTCAAGAGCACATTCATAGAAGTACTTTCACAGTTAGGGTTCTGTGGCAGTGTTGCCATCGATCCTCTGCTTTTTGTCGTATGGCACTGTGATTCTGTGTTCCTGCTGATTGGCCATCACTCATCAATCTTCTGAGGTCTTAATTGGAAGTCTGTTGACTCTTTGTTCTTATATAGCTCTCAAATGTAGTCTCAGTTTGGCTCCTGTTCTATAAAATGTCTCCACAACAAATGTTCATTGAGCTGAGCCACCATCCAATGTAGCCTCAGCTCATCTTGTAACTACAATTTTATAAAGATAGGTTAACAGAAACATTGTCCATCCCCATAGTCCAGGGGTAAGAAAATACTGTCTTGTGTCCGGTTATTATGAGTTCTCATTCACTGTGAATCATTTATGAAATTGAAGTAAATGCATTTGATTGCTTTAACGACATGGGTAACCTTAGGTAAGAGCCATCCCCAGAATAGTCCCCACATTTCCTAACATAGGAGGTATACCTTCCACTTGTTTGCATTTGTATTTTTTTTAACCTTTCCGGTTGATTAAAACTTTACAAAATAGTGACATGCCTATAAGATGGTATCTTTGGAGAACCATACTTCCTGTAGTAATTGTTTTTTAAAATTTTCCCTCTAGTGTATTAACTCCTATGCAAAATATACTTTGGGAAACTTGACTCAACCATAAAGATTCTTTCATCTGCTACAGAGACTACATTGGGAGGAAAAGTTTCATTTTTTTTTTTGAGAAACTTCCTTAACTCCCTAGGAGGAGTTTCTGGTGGATGACATGTGGTCAGAAGGGAGTCAGGTGCTGGGTTCACTGAGATTTTTTTTCCCACCAACTTTATTGAGATATAATTTACATACCAGAAAATACTCCTCATATAAGGGTGACTCAGTGATTTGGGTAAATTTGTAGAATTGCACTGTCATCATACATTTCCTCATGTCTGCTTACAGTTAACTCTGCAGCTCCTATGCAACTACCGATCTTCTTTTTGTCTCTAAATTCCTACAGTTGGCTTTTAACTAAAAATGAAGAAGGGACTTTTAAAAATCATTTTGTATTTTACCTGCAGAATAATTTTATTTAGTGTATTGTGTATTTCCTACAGAAATTGGCTCAGGCAGTGTTAACACATGACCCAGCATGAACATACTATGCTTATGATGGTGCCAGAGAAACATCTTGGGTTCCATTAAGTTTGTTCTCCTAAGTCAGAATATTTCTGTTCTAAGTTGATTCTACCATCTTTCTCATTGAACATTAATTAGCGTAACTCTTACCGTCATGTGACTGTCCATGTAAGTTATGTCTTCCAAGAGAAAAGAGTTCTAATATCCAAGACGCTTGTCTATTTCCATGGTTCTTTGTTAAGGAAAATGTCACTCTTCTTTCTACACATACAGGTACAACTTAAAGAAGCCATTGAAGATCTTCCTGGTAAAATGGATACTGAATTAGCAGAATCAGGATCCAATTTTAGCGTTGGACAGAGACAGTTGGTGTGCCTTGCTAGAGCAATTCTCAGGAAAAACCGGATATTGATTATCGATGAAGCTACAGCAAATGTGGATCCAAGGTACAGAGCTGAGGTCTATGTAACTTGGAATCCCAATTTTAAATGTGCTGAACAGGAAACATGTAACAATGCTGAGAAATGTTTCCAAGTTTGATTTGCCTCAGAGATATTGCTTGGTGACATTAATTCTGAAAAACAGGAAGAAACCAAAACAAGTTTATGATGTCAATGATATTATTAGGCATCCTAAGAGAGCTAGATTCCTAAATTCTGCTCTTGATAGTTTAAGCAATTTGGAGGGAAGATATTTTCCATTTTTTCTAATGAAAAATAGTACATTTCTAAGTAACAGTAGCCTTTAATACTTACTTTTTGAGACTAATTTGTCTTAAAATATTGACCTTTTTCAAAAAACTTAGTTAAAATGCCATATGATCATTCCACATTCTCTTTTTAACCTCTCTTACGCAGATGATCTTTTTAACCCTAACCTTTTTGATCCTAGAACTGATGAGCTAATACAAAAAACAATCCGGGAGAAGTTTGCCCATTGCACTGTGCTCACCATCGCACACAGATTGAACACTATCATTGACAGTGACAAGATAATGGTGAGTTCTTCACCTGTGGAGTTCCAGTTGTTTCCACTTATGTTCAGCTTTTCAATGTATTCCCTCCTTGTAAAACCTGACAGAAATTCCCAATAAGGGCTGGGCTTGATAGCTCATACCTGTAATCCCAGCATTTTGGGAGACCAAGGTGAGAGGATTGCCTGAGCCCAGGGGTTCAAGACCAGCCTGGGCAACTTGGCAAGACCTCATCTCCACAATAAATCAAAAAATTAGGCGGTCATGGTGGCACACACCAGTAGTTCCAGCTACTTAAAAGGCTAAGGCAGAAGGCTTACCTGAACCTAAAAGGTTTTGACTGCACTCCAGCCTAGACGATAGACTAAGACTCCGACTCAAAAAAAAAAAAGAAACTCCCAATAAGTTACTTCTCGGTTACTTTTCCCTCTCATCCCTAGCAATAACTCTATTAACTGCACATTCGGTGCTTTTTAAATAATATATCCAGTACATCTCTTTGCATGTTATTATAGCAAAAGTTTATTTGAATTGTCATTTTTGCTTAAGATGGACAACCATGAAAATATTTCAAATCTAAGTTATAGCTTGTGTTGCTGTGTTATACAACAGAATAGTAGAATGCAGTCATTTTTGCTGTCAATTGTTTTAGCATATTTGATTCCCTCAATGAAAAAATTAGCCTTTCATTTAAACTGCCAGGAGGGTGTTGGGTTACACAATAGGACTTCTCTGCTTTTGAGAGACATTCACAAGATGTATGTCCGAGGGGAGCATATGAGAAGGTCCATAACACATTATCTTCAGAAAGGACCTAGTCAGGAAAACAAATGATTCCAACAGAAATGATTTGACATAGGACATTTATCACATAGGAGTTGGAAGGCTGGGAGAGTGAAGGGAAGCACTGGGTAGTCATTGTAGGAAGCAGCTGGGACGGAACTCCAACCCTAGGAACTCAGAGAGGTCCAAAGTGCTGGTGCTTAGCCCCCTGAGAAGGGGCCGCGTGATAAGTGTGGTTCCGGGTGTGCTAAGAGGCTGGGGGCTGGGGTGATGCTGGCGGGAGTGGCAGACATGGGAAGGAGGACCCTTTGCCTGCATCCACAGTCATTCTGCCTCCAGCGCAGAACCTACTGGCAGAACCTAACAGAGAGCCAGCTGGCCAAAGAGTCTCTGAACTCTGATCACTAATAGAGTGTAGGCAGAAAGATCTGGAGCTGAGAGGTGAGATAAAGAATCACGTGTCTCCTTCCAGCACTTCCGGGGCTGCACATTGTGACAGACTCCAAGCTTTGGGCTCTGAGTACTTGTCTGTTATCTTCCTTCCAGGTTTGACTGGCTCTTTCTTCCTTCGTACTATAATATTTTTTCCCTCTCTTCCTTATCTCTTTTCCTTTCTTTCTACTTCCCTTCTTCCCTCTCTCTCTCTCTCTCTTCCTCTCTTTCTCCTTTGTTACTTGCTCAGTCTCAATACATCGTATGTGGCTTTGTAAAATGATAACGGAAACATCCCTGAAAAGAAGAATCACTGACTGCAAATAAGCCCAAAGAAACACAGGCTATTTTCAAGTTAACCTCCAGTCTGTGGCATTGGGCTGAGTTTAATCTGTCTTGTAGTCACTAACCATTGTCACTGCCTGGTTAACTGGTGATGCTGTGATGACAGAGAAGGGAATAGATTAAAGAAGGCCCACATAGTGCACGAGAAGCAGCAGATGGCGTTTACACCCTGATCCTGATGGTCTAGGCTAAACAGATTTATAAACAATTGGTGATCTCCAGACTTCCTTATGTCCAGTGATAATGGTGCTGTCTCTTGACCTCCTGGATGGTTTCTGGAATATTACCTCTACCTCACATACATTGTCAGACCACCAGCAGGACATTTCAGGAAATACCAGGCTGTTGCCATTGAAGGCAGTGCCTGAAGCCTCATCACTCCCCAGAGCGCGACGTGTGCAGGAACGAGCTCTCATGTGTGCTGGAGAGCAGAGGTGGGGTGGTCCCAACCAAAGGATGCAGACCACTCCAGCAGACATTTGTGAACAACCCTGTGGTAGTCCAAGATCTTAGGACGGTGACTCAGATTCCAGAAACATCATTGTGTTCTTGAGTGGTAAATGGAAAAATAACCCTTCTGTAAAGCAGATGCATTAATAACCAATCCCAAGGAGGACTCCTGCTGTCTTGTGAGTAACCACAAGACAGATTGCCACTGTGCCAGCCACCAGGAATAGAGGTCCAGACTCTTCTTCCCACTCTATCCTGGACTACAGGGTTGTCATGGCCTGAGTCTGGCAAGAGAGACACACATATGTGACAAGTCATGTGAATCAGGTTTATTACTTACAGATAGGCAGCAGGAGACAGAAGAAGCTTAGCATCCCACTCCCTTGAGGCTCAAGAAAGCTACCCAGGGCCGATGGAGTCTTGGGTACATGTGCCCCACTTGCACCACAGCCAAGGGACCCCAAAAGGCAGCCTCCCTGGGTTATATACCTTGGGAACAACATGACTTACTGGACAAAGTTTTGAAGGTCATCCTGCTTCCAGGGGAGAGAGGAATAAAGCCCAGGCTTTCTGGGGTGGCTTCTCCCTGACTCGAGATGTTGCATTCCCTAGGAGGGACAGGAACAAGACCCAGGTGATTTCAGGCAGCACTTCTCAGGGAATTGCATTCTCAGCAGCCCACAGTGATCCTTGAGAACTACAGACAAGAAAGAGAGGAGAACTGGGCCGGTTCAAGGCCACCCAGAGACCTTCTCCTTTTTACCTGTCATTTTGTTGTTCTCATCTCTCAGCATTGTATTTTGCAGACTGTCCCAGAAAGCATCCTGCTTTCACAATAAATTGAATGGTGCTCTAAAGTTTCCCTGCTTAGAACACTCTACTGGGCTTTGGATGCGTCAGCAGGAAGATGGCTTGATCTCCAGCTCAGTCAGGGGCCTGTTCAAAATGAAATCTTTGGGTTTTGGTATTACAACATTGATGGTAGCAACTTCCTTTTATTATCTAGTGCTTGGAAATGCTGTCAACTCAGATTGCTTAGGGAGACAGCAAGGAAGGACAGAATTAAGCAGACTTGTCAGCTGACTGTTCCTAAACCTGATCATCAGCATTTGACCCACAGACAGGAATTTCTAGCTCACAAGCATCCCCTTGACCCATCAGCATTGTTGCCATTATCGAAACATGTTTGTATAATGTTTTACATACCAGCACCTACGGGGAGATTGTGAGAACCCTGAATTTTTTCTCTCTCTGGCGTACTGTCTTTATTTAGACTCTTAACATGGTTTCACAAAGCAGTTTACTGCTGGCCCCTCTACCTTTCCAGCCTTGTCCCACTCTGCCCTCCCTCTTTCCTTCACAGTGAAAGCCGCAACAACCATCCTTCAGTGAAAGCCACAACAACCATCCTTCAGTTTTTGAAACCATCCTTCAGAGTCACTCTCACTCTTACCATTGTGCCCTCTCTCTCCCTACATCTTGGTGGCTTAGACTAAGGTGCGAGCATTGGAGATGAGAAAACAGATAGATTTGGGTTGTCCGTGGGATATGAGGGAAGGTTGAGAAGTCAGTGCTGACTTTTAGGACTGGGGTCTGAGTATCTGAGTGAATGGGGAAGACCAGAGGAGAAATTTATTTGAAGAAGAGAAAGGTAAGGGTTCACTTGGAGCAGGTGGCCACTGAGATGACCACAGAACTGTCCTTCCCTCTCCCAACACTAGTGTTGGGGGATCGTCAGTTTAGGGCTCCCTGGCTTTGAGGTCATCAATGATATCACAGGAAGTTCTACCAGAAAATGCACTTGGCCACTTAAGCTGGTTTTTGTTGCTGATTTTTTTTTTTTAAAGTAAGGAGTCACCAGCTCTGAATCCTTTGTGAAAACTATAGTTTCTAATTTCTCTTGATAGGAAATGGAAGGATTCAACCTAAGGGGACCCAAGAGACACACACTGCATAGCTTCAGAGACAGAGAATTGGTCTCTGTGCTCACTCCACCCCTGGCGAAACCTTCTGTTGATTCTAGAGCTTCTGATCATCAAGCTGTCTTTCAGTTCAGCGGAACACCACAAATAATGTTATTTCTCAAACCTTTGACTTTGGAAGTGTTTTTTGTTTTTGTTTTCTTGCTTGCTCTAGAAATACCTATTTTCTTTCTAGAAAACAAGCTGGGCATGGTAGCTCACTCCTGTCATCCCAGCACTTTGAGAGGCAGAGGCAAGAGGATTTCCTGAGCCCAGGGGTTTGAGACCAGCCTGGGCAACTTGATGAGATCTCATCTCTACAATAAATCAAAAAGTTAGCTGGGTGTGGTGGTGTGTGCCTGTGGTTCCAGCTACTTGGAAGGCTGAGGCGGAAGGATCACCTGAGCCCAGCAGATTGAGGCTGTGGTGGCTACGAGTGTGCCATGGCACTCCAGCCTGGGTGACAGAGTGAGATGCTGACTAAAAAAAAGAAAACCCAAGGGATTTTCTGTCCTGTTATTCTGAAGGCTTTGAGGACTTACAGACAGGTGAATCAGCTACAAAGCCTAAAGCTCCAGAGGGCAGCGACTGGGCTCAGGGAGTGGCTGGGGATGTGACAGATGCTAATGAAGGGCACAGCCAACACTGCTGTCATCATAAAGTCATGTAATTGCGAGTGCTTAAGGTGTAATAATTACATTTTGTTGCACTGGTGAATGCTTCCCCACAAAGACGGATGGATATGGTTTTGTTTACTATAAGTAAATCAAACAAAAGGCTTGTTGGGAAGCAACTGTGACCTAATTAATATCGTTGTTTATGTGTTGGTTCTCCAAAGGGATTTACCCAGTTTTGGTTCATTAAGCGCCATTAATGTGTTAAGCTTAGGATTCTGTTCTATAAAGATGTTCTCTCAATTTTAACTTTATTAAACATGGTGTAGTCTTAATGACAGCTAATTTAATCTTCCTCATTTGCTCTGTTGCCACAAAACAGTGGAGCAAGACAGGCAAATTAGAAATCCTCTTTCTTTTAAAACTCGCCACTAACTCT